TTATTCATTAAGCCTGACGAATAGGTCGGTTTCAGGAAATGAACGCTTACCCATCTCTGTTTCCTCTATTTCCCACGAGTGAATGAATGCTTCTATCTTAGCGTTTTTATTTCCATTAAGAAGGAATTACTATTTGTTTTAGGTTTATTTAAATTTTTTAAATGGATTTTAAAAAAGGGGGAATCAAATTAGTCTCTAAACTAAGTAAATAAACTAGTAGGAACATACTAGAACAGATAATTTACAATGGCAAAAAAACAAACTTAAGGGAATAACAAAACATAAAGAATTACACTTTTTATACTTGTTGCTAAGGTAGTCACAATAGTTATATAATAATGAGAGACAGTGAAAGAATAAGAGTTTCCCCAACAAATTTTGTAAACAGGCATTGCTTTGTGAGCTGGGAGAATCCTTTTCCAGGGCTAACTGCAACATGATACTAATTGTGAACATGCAGTCTATGATTTAGGAAATACAGCCATCAGCATGTTTACAAAACATTTTTTATTGGTGATGTAACATACACAATATCTAAAAGAAGCAAATTATAGACACTAAAGTTTATTAATGGTAACTAGTGATAGACAAGGAGCTCTGGTAGTGTAGTGGTTATGAATTAGGCTGCGAAATGTAAGGTCAGCAGTTCGAAACTACCAGCTGTTCTGGGGGAGAAAGATGAGGCGTTCTGCTCCCATAAAGATTTACAGCCTTGGAAACCTGGTACAGGGTCACTTTGAGTCAGAACCAACTCCACAGCACACAGACACCAGCCATGAGTGACAGGCAGGAGACCTGGTGTGGCGCTGCGGGTTAATGCGCTGGGCTGCAAAGTCAGTCAGAACTGCAAGTTCAGTGGCTCAAGCTTACTAGCCACTCCTCGGAAACTCTATACAGGGTTGCTATGGGTTGGAATAGACTCAACAGCACTTAACACCAACAACAGTGATGAACAGCAGGGAAGGGGTAAATAAATGCTCAAGGAATACTGAGTTTTATAAAGGCAATGAAAAATTTTGGAGATGGTTGATAGGTGAACAACATGGTAAATATAATGAATGTCACTGAATTGCACAGATGAAGAATGTTGAAAAGACAACTGTTTTCTACATAAATGTTTGTGTAACAATTAAAGAATAATTTTAATCTTAATATTTCTGAACATAACTATTGCTAGTGAAGAGCTATAGAAATCTTTAGTTCCACACTTGAGTATTTTATCTTCTGCATTCAATGAGATTATTTCTAAGGAGTTTACTCGAGATCCAGGAACATGAGCAATATATTGCAGAAGGGTACAGTGGCCTCTTTGGGCAAGAAAGGAGGATGTGACTCCAGAGGATATAAACAAGAAAAGCAATCATCCATGTTCTTGTTAAGTGTCGTTAAGTCGGTTGTGACTCATAGCGACCCTGTACAGGGTTTCCGACGAGCAGCTGGTGGGTTTGAACTGCCAAACTAATCGCTCACAGTCTGGTGCCGATCCTATAGTGCTACACCAGGAGTATTCCATAGCCATTATTACTATTTTAAAAATCATTACTTCTTTTTGTTCTTCAGAAGACACACATTAGAATACCAAGTCAGCAATTTCTACTCGTACAATTCAATGACACTGAATACATTTTGGAGTTGTGCAACTATCTTACCCATTACTTTAACCACATTACTCCAGCAGCCTCTGTTTTACACTGTATCTGTCTCCCTTTTACAATTTCCTATTCATTTCATAAACATACTGATAGCTATATTTTCTAAATCTAATACTCATCATGTACAAATAGGTCTGTACTGCTCCACCCCAACAGGATGTATCCGGGGCTGTACACCATACTCAGTCCACATCTGTGCTTTCACTGAAGGGAAAGTCAAATGATGCAACATTTATGAGGACCTTCTATTAATAAGCACATTATGTTATCTATTTAATTCTTACAATGATCATACCAGCATTATCATTCCCTCTTCTCAAAAAGGAACTCACAGCTCAGAGAGATTAAAGAGAACCAAAGCAGTAGTTCGGAAATTCAAACCCAGATCTGACTTCAAAGCCCATGTGCTTTCCTTGACATTATGCTGCTTCCTCTTGGCTCAAGGCCCTCTGCACTCACCTTTGGCTACAACCATTGATAAACATACACACCCAACCTATCTCTTCTGTGATGTCTTCCCAGCTGACTTTAGCCTTTCCAGGCAACTTCTCATAATTGTTACAGCACAAACAACTTGTAAATTTTAACAGCATGGCCATCTGTTGTATCAACATTTTTATTATTGTTTTATATGTTCTTCTAACCTATTTTTGTTTCTCAAGAACTTCTTGGGCTGCAAATATGGTAAGGGTTTCATGAGCACTTATCTGGTTAATTGAGGCAGATAAAAAGAACAAAGAAGGAACACCAGACCAGGGGTCACAATAGGTGGCATAATTGGTGACTGGGGAAGGTGAAGCCTGATCATACAGGAACTTGAGAGTACTCCATGGAGTTTCCCATTTTATCTAGTAGGAGATGAGCTGATGGAAGTCTTTGAGAATGGCACGAGAAGAGCTTCAGTTCAGGAAGATATCTTGCTGCTATATGAATAACATCACTTGAATAGAGCAAGAGATTGGGCTCTGCACAGAATCTGTCTGTCTTTGTCTCTGTAAAGACCTCTGGTGATACAGGGAGTTATGCATTGGGCTGCTAACTGTAAGGTCAGTGGTTCAAATTCACTGGCCATTCTACTCTTGTAAATATTTTCAGTCTTGGGAAACCTAGGGAGTTCTACTTTGTTCTATAGGATCAAAATCAATTTGATGGTCTCTGTAGCCAATAGAAACTTTTGTACTTCAGTTGCTTACTTAAATGTAAAAGCGCACACCCAGAACAAACAGACATAGTAATAACAGTTAAGGCAGGCTAGTCCATACCTTAAGGATTAAATACAATGCTGAACTGCAGTAATGATGTTTGGGAAGCCAAGCAAATTTACCCAATAGGAACAATCAGAGGAATTCTCCTAGTGCAAGATTTATCAATTCCCTATAAACAAGTAATTTCTATTTCTCTTCAAATCTTTCAAGATCTTGTCTTCCCTTTTTAAAATGAAGTAGGTTGAGGGACACCTAGGTCGATTGTCCATAAAGACAATGTTCTACATCCTACTTTGGTGAGCAGTGACTCAGGTCTTAAAAGCTTGTGAGTGGCCACTTAAGATACAATTGGTCTCTTCATGTGTATAGCAAAGAATGAAGAAAAATCAAAGACTCAGGGAAGTGATCAGTACAAACAATGAATGGGCCACATGAATCACAACCTCCACAACCCTGAGACCAGAAGAAACAGATGGTGCACAGCTATCACTAACAATCGCTCTGATGTGTGTGTGGGGGTGGGTGGGAGTGGGGGAGTTGTAATGATCTGATGGAGACAGTTGGCCCTCCCAAGACCAGGGTCTTTAGACATCCTTTAAAGCTGGAACTGAACCACCTTCTAATGACACAATAGCCTGGCCTATAAATGAACAATAACACCCATGAGGAACATGCTCGTTAGAACTATCAACCATACGAGACCAATGGGGCAACGTTTACCAAAGAGAAAGCAGGGAGGGACAGAAAAGACGGTAGAATAGAAACTGGGGCACACAGGGAGGAAGTGGGAAGAGTGCTGTTACATTGAGGAAATCACAACTAACGTAAGGAAGCAAAATGTGTATAAACTGTTGAATGGGAAACTAATGTGCTCTGTAAACTTTCAGCCAAACTACAATAAAATGTTCATAAGATAAAAACATGTCAGAACCACACACCAAAAACAAACAAACCCAACTAGTGGCACAGTCATTCCGCTGATACTCATATATAAATATAAATAAGGAGATAACATTTTCAGAGACAAAATATCTAAGAAAAGGGGGCACACACAAAAAAGAACCAGAGATTCACTCCACTAAAACAAATGTTTCCCCTCTTGTACTAAAGCAATTGTAACTGCCTTTTGGACTCCTGGCACAGCGCTGTAAGATATACACAAGACTGCAAGGTCAGTTTGAACCAAAAGGTTGGTGGTTCAAACTCATCATTTGCTCCCTGGAAACTCCATACACTGTTGCTATGAGTCGGAAAGGACTCGACAGCACTTAACAACAACAACAACAACTGCCTTTTAGGAAAGCCTGATTAATCCATGTTCATAAATGCTTAAGTGAGCCAACGTTTATGTGTGATGGATGGGGTAGAAAATGCATAAGGAACCATTGTAAAAGATGGGACCCGAGGAAAGTTTCCCTGAGGAATATGCAGTTGTAGTTAACGTCAGCACTGGCTGCTTTTGAGATCAGCACACGAGTAGGGTCTAGAAACGAACAGCACATGGGCTTGATTTATGCAGAACAGTGACAAGGCAGGTAATGTGCAGCGAGAGGGAGGGTAGAAAGAGGAAAGCTGAAGGTAGCAGGAGACACAGGGAGGAGGGAAAGAGTTAAAGGAAATGGAGGTAAATACTGTTAACTGATGGGACATGAAGGGAATGCATTGTAATGAAGTAAATTCATGATGTGCTGAGTGTAAAACTGATGATCTATTCTGCAAGCCTTCACCCTACTCATGATAAAAAGTTAAAAAAAAAAAAAGTGAGTGTAAAGGAAAGGCATGACGAGTTAAACCCCTTCTTCATGCGACAATCACTACAACTACCATATATGACTTGATGTGGTTTCATTATCACTAATTCTTGAATCACCTCTGACAATATTAATACCACTTAACGATGAAGGACCAACAGCTTTGTGAGGCTTTAAAAAAACAAACAAAAAACAAACAGTTCAAGGCTTCCCAGCAGCAAGGCCAGATTCTGAAACCAAATCATACTGCCTTCCAAGCTTCAGTGCAAGAACTGGAAAGAATGAGTACAAGTTTCATGGGAAAAACCAAAGCAGACTAATTCAAGAAAATAGACGTAATGGGAGAAGAGGCCCAGTGCCCAACATTAAGTTCTGAGAAAGTACCAACTTACCAGCATATTTTGCAGTGTTCGATTCATCCATGGACCAAAAGCAGTAATCAAAGGCAAATACCTGAATGAAAAGAATACAATATTAAACTTAAAAATGAACTCTACATGTTAATTTGACTGCATACATATGACTGTCAAAAAACAAAACCCAACAATATAAAAAAAGCTGAGAAGGATGCCTGCTAGTGTTTGATTTTACAACCACTGTGTATCTGTCCTCTGTTAATCCCATGGGCTTCTTTTAGATTAAATGTATGGTGATTTTTCTGTATCACAGCATGCTGTATATGGAAATTTACTATGTATCCAGATTTGAAGCAACATGACATCATAACTAGGCTGTTTTCTGAATGATACATTTAATGAAGGAAACAAAAAAAAAAAAGACTTCTCTTCTACATCCCATATTTGCATCATTGGTTGGACATTTCTGGCTGGATCTCCTATGGCTTCACAAGCTCAATATGTGATAAAGTAGCTTTCACACCTAAACGAGTTCCTCCTTCTAGCTTTGTATCATGCTACCACTTGTAGTGGAGTCCTGGTGTGACGCTGTGGGTTAATGTGCTGGACTGCAAGGTTGGTTTGAATCTCAAGGTTGACGGTTCAAGCTCGCCAGCTGCTCCTCAGAAACTCTATACAGGGTCATTATGGTTGGAATCAACACGACAGCACTTCACAACAACCACCAGTGCATAGCATTACTTAACACCACTCAAAACTCCCCATTTTGGACTCCTTTTAAAGGGCTCTTAGGTGCTAAGCTACAGATCTCACAACATTGTTTATCCTTTGCTATAGCTAATGTCCCATTTATTCTATTTACACATAACTGAGTATGTGATCTGTATAAATGTCTTATCCCTAATGGTAGAATAAGTTCCTTGAAGGCTGGAACCGCATCTAATTTATCTTTCTATCCTGCGGTGTTCATAATAGTTGCTTTATAATTATTCATTGAATGGTTAAAGGCATTGAGACCTTGTAAGAACATAGATACTTTCTATAGTACAAAAAATCTACGATATATTCTGAATAGTTTGGTCACTACATATATTTTAATGCTTTTAATCTTTCCTTACATCAGCTAACAACTTATATATTACAATCCCAGACCACAATTTAATTTTGTATTTATACAAATATATAAATAACAAAAATTTATTTATATTCTTATAGTAACTGAGTTAAAAAAAAAACAAAACAATCTAGCTATGGAACAATAGTTTCAGCCAATAGAGTGTGGAATATTAACTTCATTCTAGGGTTCTTCTTATTCACTACCCAGCTTCTTTGTGCATATGAAGTGAATGGCATATGTCTTGAGTTAGACACACCTTAGACCTCTCATAGTCTATGGACATGGTATCAGGAGGGAAAATCCCCTGAAGGAGGATATTATGCTTGGTAAAGGGGGTCAGCAAAAACAGTTGAAGACTCTCAATAAGATGTCTCACACATAGCAACAATTGTGTGGCTGGCAGAGGGCCGGGCAATGTTTTATACGGAGCAGACTTGACCAAATCTAACAATAGCGCTGTTCCAATGACTCGAGAGACCACACAGGAATAATCCAGTTAATCTTCCTGCATCTGGACAAAACTGAACTCCAACACTTCTCCAGAAAGATGAAAATCTAGCACGGTTTTAAATATTTCCAGAAAAGGAGAATCCACAACCTCCCTTTGATAGCATCTTGTAACACTTTTCATTTCCAGGACATTTTCCTTTCCTTTTAAACTATTGTTACTATTTTCTTCTGTAGTATCAAATAATTCCTATTGTTGTTGTTGTTGTTAGGTGCCATCGAGTCGGTACCGACCCATAGCGACCTTATGCACAGCAGAACGAAACACTGTCCGATCCTGGGCCAACCTCACTATTGTTGCCACACTTGAGTCTATCGATGCTGCCACTTGGCCAATCCATCTCATTGTGGGTCTTCCTCTTTTTCTCTGACCCTCACCTTACCAAACATGATATCCTTCTTCAGCAACTGCTCCCTCCTGACAATATGTCCAAAGTATGACAGACAAAGTTTGGCCATCTTGGCCTCTAAGGAGCACTCTGGCTGCACTTCTTCCAAAACGGATCTATTGTTTTTTTTGGCAGCCCATGGCACTTTCAATATTCTCCTCCAACACCATAACTCAAAGGCATTAATTCTTCTACAGTCTGGCCAGCTTTCGCATCCATATGAGGTTATTGAAAACACCATGGCTTGGTGCACCTTAGTCCTCAAGCTGACATCTCTGCTCTTCAACACTTTAAAAAAGTTCCTGTGCAACAGATTTGCTTAATGCAATACATCCTTTGATCTCTTGACTGCTGCTTCCATGAGTGTTGATAGTTGATCCAAGAAGGAAGTCCTTGACAACTTCAATATTTTCTCCATTGATAAGAATGTTGGTTTTGGTCCAGTGGTGAGGATTTTTGTTTTCTTGACATTGAGGTGTAATCCACACCGAAGGCTGGGCTCTTTGATCTTCATCAGTAAATGTTTTAAGTCCTCTTCACTTTCAGCAATCAAGGTTGTATTATCTGCATATTGCAGGTTGTTAATGAGTCTTCCTCCAATCCTGATGCCACGTTTTTCTTCATATAACTCAGCTTCTTGGATTATTTGCTCAGTATACAGGTTGAATAAGTATGGTGAAAGAATACAAACTTGTTGTACACCTTTCTTAATTTAAAAACATTCAGTGTTCCCATGTTCTGTTTGAACAACTGCCTCTTGGTCCAGGTACAGATTCCTCATGAGCACAATTAATCAAGTGTTCTGGAATACGCATACTTCACAATGTTGTCTATAGCTTGTCATGATCCACACAATCAAAAGCCTTTGCATAGTCAATAAAGCACAGGTAAACACCTTCCTGATATTCTCTGTTTTCAGCCAAGATCCATCAGACATCAGTAATGATATCCCTCATTCCATGGCCTCTTCTGAATCCAGCTTGAACCTCTGGAAGTTCTCTGTCAATGTATGATTGCAGCCGTTTCTGTATTACCTTTAGCAAAACTTTACTTGCATGAGATATCAAAGAGATTGTCCAATGATTTCCTCATTCTGTTGGGTCACCTCTCTTTGGAATGGGCACAAATATGGATCTCTCGGATCTCTTCCAATCAGTTGGCCAGATAGTTGTCTTCCAAATTTCTCGGCAGAGATGAGTGAGTGCCTCCTGTGCCACCTCACTTTCTTGAATGAGTTGTTGCTATAGCTAATGAACACTCACTCACTGCCTAATGCTAATTATAATGCTGTGGGTTCATGCGCTGGATTGCAAGGTCTGTTTGAACTTCAGGGTCGGTGGTTCAAGCTCACCAGCTACTTCTCGGAAACCCTATACAGGGTCGCTATGAGTCAGAACCAACCCAATGGCACTTAACAGCAGCAGTAACAATTTCAAGCTATGGACTTCTGGTTTGGTGCGGTAGGATCAGCACTAGCCTGGGGACTACAAGGTCAGCGGTTCAAACCCATCAGCTGATCCTTGAAAATCGTATATAGGGTCACTATGAGTCAGAATTGACTCGATGGCACTTAAAAACAACAATATCTCAAACTATGAGCCCTGGTAAGGTACTGGACTGATGAAGTTGGCAGTTCAAACCATCAACTGCTCTTGGAACATCTATACTGGGTCTCTATGAGTCAGAAACAACTTGACACCATACAACCAACAAAACAATAATCTCAAATTTAGGTTTAGCAGTTTGCTTTCTACCTCTAAGGAGCCCTGGTAGCACAGTGGGTTAAACTTTGGACTTCTAATCACAAGGTTAGTGGTTCAAACCCACCAGTTGCTCTCCAGGAGACAGATGACATTGCTTTTGTTATGATTTTTTACATCTTTCCAAGGGTCACTATGTGTTAGATTCAACTCAATGCTGTTAAGTGTGTTTGGGTTTGATCCTACATACAAGGTCAGAAAGCTAAAGATTTATATATACAATAATGCTAATTACTAAAATCCACCTCAAATTTGAGGGTCCACCTGTCATACATTTCAAAATCCATATCAACTTGTAGCAACCAACAGTTTATAGTGAATAGTTTAAAGTTCTTTTGGCTAATAAAAGGTAGATAAAAATGTTTCATGTTAAGTATTTTGCCCCCTAACATTCAGCTGAGTGTTAAAACACTGTACGGGAGAAGCGGGCTTGCCAGTCCTACCAGCCTCTCCCTGGACTGAATTAGGGTTTGAATCTCAAAACCTTCATCACTGTCATTTTCCAATAATCATCCCTCAGACCAGTCAGGAAACACAGGGTACTATTTTACTAAACAAAGTAAAGTTGAAGCCAAGACATCTGAGTTAGTTCCCTAAATCTCAAAGAGAGCAAATAGAACATTCTTGTTACACATTTTGTTGTTGGTTTTTAATCTAAGCTGGGCATGATCTCTCCTTTCTATGAAATTCTATAGCACTTTGTAGCTCACATGGCACCAGTTCACACATGGCCCTGTTTCATGCTTCTGTGTGGCTAAGAGCTGAGCGCAGCGCCTGTTTCCACATTTAGTAGAAGACATCCAATGTATGCAATATTTTTTCAATTAGTAAACACAACTAGGGGAGGGAACTGGAATATAGACAAAAAGATAGAACGCTTATGAGACCTGCTAACTGCTCTGATTAAACACTTCAAAATTCCAGAATATAGTCTTCGTTGTTTCCTTACTTTCAGACCCATGTTTTGGGAGAACTCCTGGTGTCCCACCATAAGATACGCATTTGACCTCAAGGTCAATTTGAAATGCCAGATTGGCAGTTCAAACTCATCAATCATTCCTCGGAAACCCTACACAGGGTCGCTATGAGTCAGAATTGACCTAACACCAAAAACAACAATTTTGATAATGGTAAAATATGAGCTTGGCTATTAGATTGAGAACTAGAATTCTATGACCTGGGTGGATAAACAAGTATGACTACATCGTGTATAATTTGTAGTTTATACTAAAATTAGAAAAAGTTACTTGTCTGACTGTTGCTAAAGCAAATTACTTGTAACTGTTATGAAAACAATTGTAAAGATGTTTAATATATTTCTGTC